AAAAAGCTTTCTTAAAAATAAAACCTGAATTATTAAGGTAATATAGAGCAGCAAAGAACATACTCATTTTAAAAATAAAGTAAATATTTAAAATACCTATTACATGTTTTTCCATTTTTTTGCCTTCTACTATATTTTTAGAGGTAAAAGCTTCGAAAATACTATATTTGATAGAAAAAAGAATTGGTAACCCTTGTCGCACAGTATACACCATTGTATCTTTGTCATGGATTGGTGTGGAGTGTACGTAGAGCGAGTCGTCCAAAAAGGTTTGGGGTATGCACCTGGTCCGTAAGGGTTCATTGCTCCAATCAAATAAAATTATATACATAATATTCATATTCTTTAAAGAAAATGTTAATATGCGGGAAAAGAGAACTTGCCTTAAATAAAGGTTCTTAGATTTTTTTTAGTTCTAGACTTTTTAGAACACAATAAAATTTTATTATTTTTATTAATTCCGCCCGCGCGTTCGTCTACGTTTTATTTAGTTTTTTGGAATAAACAGTATCGTATATCTCAATCCGGGTCAAAATCTATAGGTGTGCCAAATTTCACCCAAATCAGTTTAGCCGTTTTTGCGTGATTGCGTAATTAACAATTAAATAACTTGTAATTTTATAAACTAATTCTTTAATTTCGTATTTTTTATATCAATACTTAGTCCTCGTTTTTCGAATCCCAGTGATACCAAACATTTTCCAGGATAAAAAGTATGCTGTCTCAATCCAGGTCATTTACTATATGCGAACAAAATTTCATTCAAATCCGTTGAGTAGTTTTTAACAAACAACAAACACAAAATTTATAGTACCTATTACTAGAATATAGGTCTTATTTAAGTCTAATTCAAGTTGAAATAACTTAAAACAATATTGACCATAAGTTTTTCTTTACATATTAATTAATTTACTTAGATACTTTAGTAACCTGTAATGTTTACTCATTTTAACTTCTCTTAATACTTTGCATAAAGTATTTCTTAAATAATCCTATTGTGTTGAAGTTAAATTATTAGTAGGAGAACCAGGGGTAAGAAAATAACTTAAAACACCATGCTGATGCATAAAGTGCTTTACGCCATTTTGTATCGGTCGGTCAGCCAAAAGTGCTTTGCGTCGGTAAGCCAAAAGTGCTTTGCAGACTGCGTTTGCAGACAACGATATTAAATACCAACGGTATATGATATCGTTGTTTGCAGAGCACCGAAGTACCTAACCTAGTTAAACCCTAATGCTAATTTCTAAGTTGTCATACAAAACTGACAATCTAGGTCCAATTATTTGAAGTTTAGGTAAGATTATTATTGTAAGATTTAGTAATAATCCACAGAAGTAAAAAAGAAATACGTCTTTTAATCGTAGTTCCTATTGAAACTTATCATTCAATTATATGTAATCTTGTTTAATTTATTCTAAGAACCAACGTGGTATATTTTAAGCGACGTAGAAACACATTCTCATGATCTCCTTTTAACCTTAAGCCCTAGCAATAAAACTGGAGTAACAAAATTACCATTACAAAGTGGCGATGCTTCTACTGTAATCACGAGCCGATATTGACCGAATCGAATACCATTGAAAGCAAAAGTGTGCTTCCTCAATGCTACGAAATGATTCGATGCGTAACCACTGTTCTCGGGAATCGAACTTAAAAACCAAAAGTGAAAGGGAGTCGTTGCTCTATATTTATATTTTGTCTACGTTTATGTGACTGCCGACCTGCCATTGCTAACATATAGCGATACTATGATATAGGTATGCAGCTTGTTCTGGATGGCATCAACAGTTATAAGGTACATAAATTAGCACGATAACTTCATTGCATTCAAATTAGATTGATTGGATACTTATACCGAGATATGCCGCTGAATGATATTACGTTTGCTTGTTTTGTATAAAGTTTTATTTGGAATCCTTTAGGACTGAGTATTCCGTTTCCAAGCTGATCATAAAGTTTCATGTTAAAGAGCAGTGGCGAGTGCTTAAGTCAGAGATTTCATGTAGGTACATGTGCCGAAAGACATATCTTTGTATGTCAGCTCTCAAACAGAGCGTGCTATTTTTATGTCCATTGTGACAAATAATAAACAGGCGGGCATCAGCCGCACCGCACCGCGGCGGCGCACGTCGCTCACATAACACGACACGTAGGCAGGTACAAGTCGACGGCCGTGGTAGCCGACATCCCTGCATCCCCGGCTGCCGGCTGTGCGGCTCTATAAATACACAGCAGGTGTGGTGGGCGAGCGGGGGGCGCGGTGTGCGCGGGGCGAGGGCATCCGCCTCTGCAGCGCTCCAAACCGCTCGCAGCGGCCAACGGACCTTAGCGACGCCATATCGATTGCGAAGGCTCCCCCTGCGGCGCGGTGGCTCCATTGTGCTCGCGCTGGGATGCCTTCTCCGGTCGTTTCCAGGGCCGGCCTTGTCGAGTTGTCTGCGAGACCCGGGACTCGCCCCGCGCGCCCTTCCCCCTCGCACACCAGGACATGACCGACAGCTGTCGACATGAGTGCTTCGCATCATCCGCTTTATGACGTACTTACTCTTCAGCAAACAAGATCGGCGTCAATGCACACTTTATCACCAATGCTTTCAAAGTACAAGATAATGAATGATATTTTACAGGAAAAATGAACACACTAATGTTATTCACACGACAACAATATCATCTCAGGTACATTGTAATAACACATTCACAATCTTATTCAAGAATGATTTACATACGTATGAACGTAATCGCAATCCAAATTTTGCATTCAAAGAGCTATTGTAACTTACTCTACCTACATTAACTCTACATTGGAAACAGTGACCAATTAATTAACTTATTTATTAAGCAGTATGTTTATTAGAGCGTGTTGTTACTGTACGCTTTACAGAAATAGTATTTAACTTCTAAGTCACCACTTCTTGTTACAACTTCAAAGTTATTTTGTTATAGCTTTTACAACGTGTCTTCTTCACGAGCTATTCATTCTGAATGAATGGTTACATTTATCATAATTATTATGTATTGTTGAATGGGGTGCTATATTTGCGCTATAAAGAAATAAAATAGGAATTAATTACGAAAGGATAAAATTACATCATCGGACTGAAAATATAGATGAGACAAAATATACATACTTAAACTCATTGCTTTTACTCATATAAAAAAAAGTGTTTTATTAAAACCTACAGAAGTTTACTGCTTAGAAGCACCTACGCACAATAAAATTATTCGTCGTAAAGTAATATAACCATCTCTTTTTTTTAAAGAATCTCTGCATTTTTTAAAGTGCAGTTATTGAAATCATTAAATGACTAATGAGTCATTGCGACCATAAAAGACACCACAAATAACATTTCATTATCAGAAGTATTAAGATAATGATTGTTTGTTAATGTATATACGATTAAGCAAAAAAAAATGTTACGAAAAATATTTGCCTAAAAAGATTTATGAGATATTTTGTTACTGCAAAGGTAAAGTTTTCGCAAATTTTCATTGACACCTTTTACAAAAGACATCAACGATTCACAAAGTTATAGCAATGTAAGAGTTACTTTTTTTAAATCTTTCGTATAACACAAATTATAGCGCGCTTGGTCGGTTCCCATCGGGACGCAGACCTGCGAAAACTAATTTGATTTGAAAATGTCTCTTATTTCCACTACAGAGAGATCTTTTTGCTGTCAAAACTTCCGTGTAGGGGCTGATAAATTGTGATGTATGTGTGCATAGCTGCTTCGCGCGCTATAGTTGTGAGTGGAGTGGTTAGAAATTAGAATTTCTTTTCTTTTAAATAATTATGAATTAACACTTCAACAGATATACCTGTTGTGACTATTTAGTTTAGTAAAGTTTAGAGATTAATCTCTTAGCGGCATCGCTTTCTGATGCTCATTAATAACTTGGGGGAGCGCATTGCGCTTTGTTATGATTTTGTGTTAATAAGCACAGATATTGTCATAAACGATATAGATAGGTAGACGTCCTGGAGGTAGAGAAAATAAAACGAATAAAAAGATTCATATTTTAACAATAATTAAATAATCTAAGTACATGTAGCTGAAATGTACTTTCTTATGTAAATTAAGAAGTAATTCTTGTGTTTTTACTGCGCTGCCCGTGCCTGCCGTGTCGCTTGCTATATGCCACTGCATCATTAGAGAATGGAGTTTAAATATATTAATAAAATAACAATTGCAGTTATTAAAGCCATAAATAACTAACGAACGACTAATACATTAAAGGAGTTAACGAAATCCTAAGTCTATGATGAAAACTACCTTGACCATAATTTAATAGAATTTGACAGAACTCACTTGAGATATCATCTTCAAAAATTACAATTTGCTTACCGATACATAAAGATGTGATGGATCTTCTTGAATTAATTTTCTTTTCTATTTGAATCTCTTCGTACTGGATCTTACCTATCCATAAGCGATTTTTTTAAAAAATCATAACCTCTTAATAGCCTCTTTAAATTACAATGTGACGTGACGCAGGCGGAATGTTGAGAGCGATGCTTTATTTGAGGTAAAACTTGACATTTACTTACTTCAGCTGCTCTCACTCACCTAGGAGTTTGGTCGGTTAGGTACTTATCGGTAGCCCTGTAAATAATATAACATTAATCGTGAGCACACAACAGTCTCCGTTTTCATTAAACCATAGTCGAGTGGAGGTCGCCCGCCGCGTCGGCTCCCCTTACCGTCTAAGTTGAGGAGGACGAAAAACATCAACAGCGAAGCATCGCACCGAACCTCCGCCCGTCCCGCGCCTACGCCCTCGGGCCCTCACGCCGCCACCGGCGCTGGCCGGTCGGCCTGCCGCCTGCCTGCCTGTGCTCGCTTCATTCAACCTGCGACGCTCTCGCGCATCGCACACGTACCCTCGTACTGCTAGCGGGACCGCGACACGCGCCCCGACCCCTCGCACCCGAGGGGCATCGCGTTCACACCGCGCCAACCTCGAACGTCTAACCGACACCGAGTATTATTTTGTTCCAGCGGACTATGCTTCAGCAGATGTTCTCGCCGAACTACAACGTCGGCGAGGTCGTGACTCTCGTGCGCCCCTTCGAAGGCCGATTGTGCGGTGACTCTTCATCGGAGGCTTCCTCGGACGTTGCGGAGGAGTTGGACTTACCGCAGTGCAAGATAAGGCGGAATTACAGTTGTACCAAGTGCAAATTTTACACTCAAAATCCGCGAGTTTATCTAGTGCATATACGTGACGTTCATTTAGAAAAGTTTAAGATATATGACTGTCCACATTGTGTTTATGCCTCGAGGCATCATCAAAAACTTACAAGACATATAAAAATGGTTCACAGCAATTCCGCTACAGCGACAACCGGAAAAATGGATATAGAACTACCCGCTTCGGGTGGGAACACAGTAGATTCGTTGGAGCGAATGGAAGATTTGCTCGAAGAAGTCGAGGAATGTGATGACATTGAATTAGATGTAGATGACTGTAACGAGGAGTCATTCGAGCGTTCTGTTGAATTGAGTAATGACTGTGACAAGTCAATGATGAGCGCGGCAGCCCTAGCAGCAGCCCTAAAAAATAAAGGCAAAGATTTCTCTTGCAACCAATGCAAGTACGTGACTCATATAAAGAGGAGGTTCACGAAACACGTGAAGTATCATTCGATGCCCGTGGCCAAGTGTACTCTATGCGATTTCCACTCGCCTTATAAATGGAACCTAGATCGCCACATGAAGAACCACGGCCGCAACGGAACCTTCAAGTGCTTCATGTGCAACTTCACCGCGGAGTTCAAGCAGAGTCTGACATTTCACGAGTTGAATCATCACGCGCCGCCCGGGGGCCAATCGGTGGCAAGTCGCCGTCGCAATCGGGTGAGCGCCAGCGACATGGAAGGGAGCGGTGACTCGCGATCCTCTTTCTCGGTGAGTCGCGCGCAAAGAGTAAATTATGTACTATATCGCGAGTGGCGCGGGGTTCAGCCACGCGATGACGTCACGCTGTTATCACGAGTGGCCTGGCACCTCTGCTGTTGCTTGGCATCTGTGCATGCCGTCCCCACGCCCGCTTTTGTTGCACGTATACCATTGTATTGTAGAGACATACCTATTGCACGTTACTTGGTTAAAATTAGCAACCATGTGTCCCAAACACTTAGTTCCAATAATTTATTTACTTGTATACATACGTATATATCTTTTGTATTTCTTTAAATACTAACGTCCGCACGCCTAATATATTGAATGTCATTGGAAGTGACGTGTTGTCTTATTTTATTGTTATCGCGAAGATAGTGACAGCACTGACTATAAACAAACTAAAAAAGTTGTACGACATCTATGAGTGCGGCCGTTATTATAATTTTTGCCTGTAGATCAATTTTTTGTGTTTTATAATGGTTATCATCATAGCACGCGTAACTTTTTCTAAAAGTGAAAAAGATAAGTTTTTTGTGGCAGATTAACCAAAACAAAAACCAAAGTCGGTTATTTTGATTTTTAGGGTTTATAAAAAAAGTGTAAATACAAAAGTTGTAGATCGTTTGATTACCTAAAATTTTGCTATTGTAATGTATTTGACGGGAGTTGTAATTTTTCCGAAAATCATAATCGTTTCCCCCCCTTAAAAGCTCTATATTTCTCTTCTTCATCTTTTTTTTGCAAGTAGACATTTTATTTCATAACTCGCACTTTTCCGGTTTTTTTTCAATATAAGATCAACTAGATGTGCCCTGCGGTGTTACCCGGGGTTTATTAGGGATATTTTCCCGCAGTAAAACGTAGCCTTTGTGTTAATTCAGGGTGTCAGCTAACTCCATACCAAATTTTATTAAAATCGTTCCAGCTGTTTAGATGTGAAGAAGTAACAAACGTACACACTCACACACTCGCAAACTTTCGCGTTTATAATATTAGTGTGATATATTGTTGCGTGTCGGGATGGGGTTCAAACTTATAATGCCAGTTCACGCTTGATAGTTCTAATTTATCACACAGTTCTTCATTAAACAAAGAATACTACACATACAGTACACTATACTACACAATACAATCCTTATGAACACTTTATTTGAATTTTGATTGTTTCGAAATCGCTGTTAAAACTCAACTTTTTGATAAGCTCATCTCAAAATGTCACCCTAGGCTACGGAATACTTAAAGCATAGTGAATAGCAGAATGTATAATGAATAAAAACCTATTAATGAATTGGGCCAACTATATCACAATCATACAAATGGCTATGACGGTCCATCAATTCTCCAGCAAGAAATAATTGAAAGTTAAATTCTTGTCTTTACAATAACTTATACCACAACGGACTTATCTTTTGATATGAACTGAGAAAATTTCATTGATCGCTTCATCGCCGACGAGATGCTTAATGCTTCACTCAGAAATGTCATTCAATTAAACTTTTCACTAACGACGAGTGGTTTCGTTTCTGAGTTCTTAGTATCTGGGCAACTATTAAGCTCTAATAGTTGCCAAAAATATTCTTTAGCTCTACTGGCATACACAGGCATACTTCTTACGGGAGATCGATATTGAAACTAGACTTAAACCGTGTGTCATCTTTGACCATTATTATTTGACTAGCTGGGCCCGCGGTGTTACCCGCGGTTTATTAGGGATATTTTCCCGCAGTAAAACGTAGCCTATGTTGTAATCCAGGGTGTCAGCTAACTACATGTCAAATTTTATTAAAATCCTCCAGCCGTTTAGACGTGAAGAAGTAACAAACATACACACTCACAAACTTTCGCCTTTATAATATTAGTGTGACTAGCGGCCCGTCCCGGCTTCAGACGGTTGTATTCAATACTATGGAAACAATGAATCAGCATATACAAAATTAATACCAAATGAACAAAAGGAAACAATGGAAGAGCTTTTCACTATACAACGAAAAAAACAATTTTACATAAGCGAAAAAATAAATTTGAAGAACTTCAATAACCAAATTCAGTACTACACACATCGCACATAACTATTATAATAACAAAATTCAGTACCATACACAACGCCTAGGTAACCTCGGTTTACATTCCAAGGCATTCGATTTTTGATTTTCAAAATTTTTAAATACTACGTCACGTTGTATTGTGTCTGGCCCAATCCTTGGTCTGGCCAAGGCGCTTGTTCTTTTTATTAAATATTGTATTTGTTCTGAAATAAAAAAGTCTAGAAGCCATTTTTTATTGTTGTTATAGGTATCGATTACAATGTCTCCATCCGTATTTCAAAATTTTAATATTTATAGAAATATATGTGATAAAAAAACAGATTACCGATTTGAGAAAGTACAAATATACGGAAAGACTTGTAGGTTAAGATTTTTGTTGTCGGTCTATCTTTCGCAGTCGATTTGTCGCCTGTCTCTCTATCTGTCATGTAATGTCTGCCGTCTGTCTGTCTATCTGTCATCTGTTGTGAATTTCCAAAAATCTTATCTTAGTGTGTCTAAACCTATTTCTGGACAATATAAAGGACTATTTTAATCTCATTAAATCTAGGTCCAGCGGTTTTGCTTTGCGTCATGAGTCAACCAGCCAATTAATCAATATATCCATTTCCCTCTTTACATAACAGAAGAAGTTTAAAGAAGAAATAATGATTCGTTCCGGCTACGTACGGGAGTATTGTATGAAGTAGACACGAATTAGCATCCGGATATGTAATAGGTATATATGTAGGTACGATCTTGTAAAAATGGTTTCGAAGTCGGTCAAGTGGGTGAAAAAAAAATTTTACCCCTGGATATCCCGTGTCCGTGGAATTAACAGAACAAAAGTTGTACTTATTCTTCTACAATATCAAACATTGAACTTTTCGTTTTGAAAATCAGTTAAGTGGTTTAAGCAACAGGATTTGACACCCGTAGCCTCATTCCCGTAAAATTGGTCTGGCATTGCCATTCTGATTTTTTTGCTTAGCATAAGGTTTCTAAGTAAGTAGGTCGAGTATATTAAAACTCCAAATAGGTGGGCATGGCCATCCTGATTTTTCTGTTTAGAAAAGAGTTTCTTTTAGGCATTAAGGTTGAATATCTTTTTATCCTGGAATTCCCAAGGGAACAGGAACTTCGCGTGTAAAACCGCTGGTCTCAGCTACTAATAACATATTAGAGCAAATTACCTAAATATATTTTATAGATAACTTGCTATCCTTATTTCTCGTCGTAGAGATCGAATTTCAAAAAATACGAATCTGAAGAAAATTTTACTGGAAAAATTTCCACGCGGACCAGGCAGCAGCTAGTCAGCAGCTGGCAGCCAGCTGCTGACTAGCAGTTAAATGCTTAAAAAATCCATATATAGTTAAGTTTTTTCGAGTTTCAGTTTCGTTTATCTAAGCCAAGTTTCAAAGCCGTTAAGTAAGCCAATCTCGTTTTCCCATACAAACTTTGAACCCCTATATCACCCAATTCACGGTGGAATATTAAAAAATTCTTTGTCGCTTGATGCCTACGTCATTTAAACAACCTATTTACTAAATATCATGTCTCTACGATCAAAAGTGTTGGCGTGCATTGAAGCACTATTTAAATCTTCAATAGGCTATTATGCAGAGTAGCTGTGCAAAATTTTAATCAATCCTATGCACTTTTGGATGATCTCCCATACAAACCGACACGAAATTTTGTATTTTTTTTTGAGGTTGGTTGTAAATATTTTATGTAACAGGCTTAGTGCACATCTATTATATATTTTTTATGCAAAATTTGCAATTAATAGGTCCAAGGGATAAGATTTTACGAACAAACGTTTTTTTGCTAATTTACGCTTAAGAGAATGCGGAATTTCAAAAAATCCCATCTTATGACTTGTCTAGGCCTCTAGGCAATAATAGTAACTTACTGTCCAAATTTCATCATTCTAGGTCCAGCCATTTCGGCTGTGCGTTGATGAGTCAGTCAGTCTGTCAGTGTATCCTTTTCTCTCTTTATATACTTAATACACTACAGAAGAAAGTTACATCACCAACTCTAAGACCTCTCTTTAAGACCTATTTTATAACTGGACTCTTACTAATCACGGTAGTTAAAACTTTTAATGTAACGCTTATATGTAACTTTGTAAATTGTTAATCAATGATGTATGAGCATACAAGATGAAATATTGCATTATGAGACTTTGCATTAAGAGAAAGTGAGTGCACCTGAACTTCAATATACTAGACTCTTAATTTACTTCTTTGACTAAGACCTTACGTGCTTTAGAATAATTTCACAAATAACAGATTGTCGTATTCTAGAATTTAAATACGAAGAGAAGATGCAATAGGTTTTATTTTGATGGCAGTGTCTACCCAAAGTTCTTACAACTTAAAGAAAATAAAAGTTATATTTTTCAAATTATTTAAATACTAAGATCACCTGTATCACGTCATTGACGTATAATATATAAATAGACTGCTAATCACCTAACAAAAGTGTTCTTTAATATTTTTTCGTATAGATTGTTACTTTATTCCTAATTTGATAATTTAAAGGTATGATTTAATTTTTAAACAAAACAAATTCAATGAATAACTCTTTAAAACGGGGTGGCTTTTTTGTCCACCACTATAATATTATCTTTACGCTATTTGAAGTGCAGTTTTTCACAATTGAATACTAACATATTATTTTCTACGTTTTATAGGACATGCAAAATGCAGAAAAAGACATTGTCAGCTGCCACAGCGACTCCAATGACGCCGATACTACATCAGATAAAACTACAAGAAAAGATGTTGAGCAAGACTGTCAAACCCAGCTGTCTCCAAATGCCTTGACCGATGATACCGAATGCCAGAAGAATAATCGAAAAACTCCCAGACCTTTGCCACCACTCATACCACTGCATGCTTCTACACCCAACCAAAATAAAACTCCTAGCGGAGAACCACCAGCGAAGAAATTCAAAGAAACCCCCAACACGACAGAGTCAACAGACTTGAAAAAAGAAAATAAAATTGATAAATTGCCGATCGAAATAAGTCTTATGCCTGTAAACAACATTTCCGCAAACGGCAAAGAATCCACAGGCCGTAAGAAAAATGATTCTTTTTTCGATAAACTTAAAGAGCGTTTGCTGACCGAAACAGGGGAAAACGGAACTCTAATTTGTAAAAATTGCGGATTCGAAAGCAAATGCTTGTCAGAACATTCCGTACATGAGAAAAATTGTGCTACTCAATTGAACCGATCGTCAACCGACTCTTTACTTTCGAGTTTAAGTTCAACTCGCTGCCAAAATTGCAGACACAGATGTAAATCTAGCGCAGACTTATACGTTCATTTGCAGACTTGCAGGAAAATTGAAAAAAATGGAGAAAATGCTGCAACACAAATAAAAAGTCAAGACCGTAATGAATGCGAGATTTCGACATCGGAGAAAGAAAGTGAACCACACCCTATGGAGAATGTTGTTTTTGTCTGGAACAATATTAGTCACGATGCAAATAAGTATGACACTCCGCTTGATATCAATATTAATGATGATTCCACTCTTCCAGAAATAAATAAAAGTTACGATGCAGAAACTGCAGATGATAACGAAAGTATGAATTTATCTCCTAGTCATGCAATGGGCAAGAAAGTTTTCAAATGTCCGCATTGTCCATTCTGGGCGTCTACGGCGTCAAGATTTCACGTACATATTGTCGGGCATCTGAACAAAAAGCCGTTTGAATGTTCTCTCTGCAAGTATAAGTCTAACTGGCGCTGGGATATAACTAAACATATCAAACTAAAGTCTGCCAGGGACCCAGAACATAATGAAGCAAAAGTGCTCATGACCGATGAGACTGGTCGAAGAAATTACAGTAAATATAATAAATTTTTAGCAATGTCTGTGTTAAATGAAAACGGTGAAACTGTTTTTCATTACATAGATACAAATGCATCCGTTGACTCTTCAATGGTAATGGATGAATCTTTTAATGATATGGCGGATAGCACCAGCCATCCCCTAGAAATGCAACCTCTCAATTTACAAACCCATTACAATGATCAAAAGTATGAACTAACCGATAGCAGAAATTTAGATTTGATGAAACCTAAGAAAACATTATGGAAATGTAAGAAATGCAATTACAGGTTCGTATTTATTTTGGAAAATTTTACACAATCTATTACATTCTTTCTTTTTTATTTAGTACGATACATACGAATTGCGATATTTAAGTCACTACTTAATGGAAGCATTCTCGTAAGATTTTATTCTCAAATAAGAGTATTCACAGATTAATATTATAAATAATATTTTTTCAGAGATCCATCTAAAGAGGCTTTATTAGAACATGTGCGAGAGCATGCCCGAGCGGAAGGCAACAATGACGAAATGAAAATAGCAAAAAAGACCGAAAACCTTCCGGATCCGTCAGATTTGGCGTATCGATGTGGTCACTGCAATCAACTATCTAATTGGAAACACGTCATACAGGTAATAAGTTCATACAAATTAAGAAAGTACCTATCCAATGATAACATTAAATTAATTTAGACAATTTTTACACAAAATGATAAACTCCTGTCACGATACATTTCAATTCATTTTTAAAAATATTTACAAACTCAGCCCCAATCATACTTGAGTTCTAATTTTCAATCATTTCGATTAATGCCAACTTAAAGAAAAAACACTTGTTAATTTTCTGTCACTGAGTTGGTACGATTGCACGCATCACACGGAAACATTACTTTTGAGACTTGAGAGTGCTCGATTGTGCGAAGCGTTGCTGTAGTTGAAACATTCATCGTTGAGCATTATGCCGCATAATGCTCTCTAGTGCTGTAATTGGAAGGGTATATATTTTTTTTTATTTTGCTTTAGAGGGGTTCATTCGAGTTTTATATCATTTAAAAAACCATTTACGAATGAATGTAAGTTAACCTGGACGGCTGCTCACCCTAGGAAAAATCTCTAGCTACGCCAATGCTGCCAACCAAGTTCAGCGTTTAAGATAAATGGTATTCATAACATATCTGCAATAATGTTGTACAAGGTGGCGCAAATAGTATAATTTATTCACTAAATTAAAAAAAGGGACCTTTAAATTTTTGTATGCAGTGCAAAAGATGATCCCGCCAATTGGCTGCCGCCAGTGTTGATTCACATTTGTGCAAAGAAAGAAGTACCCGTGGAAAATGAGCTGTTTAAATTGGGCGATCTTGCTGCGAAATTGCCAAAATGAAATCATGCTGTGTGTACGGTTTCACCGCTTTGTTGAAACCACACTTGTTCACACACTCGCTCCTGCAGAGTATTATGCTCCATTGCTTGTCTGTTTATATTATGCATTTATCGAGCACATGAGTAAAGAGATATGTACAAAGCTTCCATAGAGCTGCCGAATATTTTCCTTTCTAGGGTTCCGTAGTCCTAAAAAGGCACCCTTATAGTTTTGGTCATATCCGTCCCCAGTTTTGCTTGGAAACTGTTAGCACTAAAGAGCTGTAATTTTTGGTAGGGTTGACACATAAGGATAAATTAAAATAAACAAAACGTTCGTTACAAATATGTATCTTAATTAAGTACATAGTTAGGTATGTTATAATAGATTTTTGTCCTTCGGTGAACAATGAAAGTGCCTACTATTACTTCTTAGTCTAAGTATTTCGAAGCCAGAAAGTAAGTCAAATTTAACTTGCAGGATTTGATTATCGAGAGGCAGACGCATATACATATACCTAAAAGCTTATACAATTTTTTTGAGATGACAAAATAATAACGTTTCTTTATTTTATGGAACGCACCGTTTTACGAGATGTGTAGGTAAAATGTTAATTTTTCACCATCATTAATTTATCTAACAAAATATTTCTTTCAATGTTGAAGTATATGTAAAAGGTACCCTATCTATCTATGCAGGCGTATTAACCACATAAACATTAATATTTCATAGCAAAGTTGTTATTTACTCAGTGGAGTTCAAATGATAATTTAAAAAAATGTGTTCTTATTATATTTATACTTTTAAGCATTTAACTGCTAGATGTTTAAATCTAAAGAAAATTTTACTAGAAATTGGTATTTTTTTTCTCGTAAAATTTTCTTTATATACGAGTATGTTCTTATTCGTTCTATTATTTTTCATATGCACAGTACATTAAACCATATTTATCTTATTTTTCTTAAACACTATTATTACAAAACGTGAAACGAAGACATATACGCCGCGAGTGTTCCGCGAGCCCTGCACTTGAGCACTGGTACTGACGTGTGACTGCAAAAGTGACAGGCAGTCAGTGCTCATTCACACATGTGCGTCGTGCTTGTTGTAGTGAAACAATCGCAGCTCGGTTGTATAAAGCTTTGTCTCTGTACAGACTGTACGTTTCTTTACCTACTCATGTGTGTCACAATATCAAATAGTATTGACATACGACCATTTGCAATAATTAAAATATCTTCCAAATTCCGATAGAGTGATTGATTACTTTTGCGCCACCTGTATAAATTGTAAAAGAAAAAATAAAATTATTTCAAAATATTTTTTATGGGTATTTTATTTTTATTCATTTACGCCATATATATTCGAGATCGATGGCGCGATTTACTTTTGTGTAAGTTGAGCAACTTTTACAATGGCTAGTATAGGACGGGTGACAAAAAATAGATAATTGTAGTCCATGCTTCGTCAGGTAGGTTAAACCATTAGTCCCTGCTGTCTCTGCATTCATTACCACCAGCCAATCCACACTAGGCTCACGTGGTAGGTCATGATTGGCCCGTTTTTCCAATTCTATCCATGGGGAAGAATGCTCTAGCATGAAGAGGATTAACTAATAACCTGATGATAATGTAGGTACTTTTAAACATCACCCTGAGTCCGCGGGTGATGTTCATACAATTTATTCACTCCAATGAACACACATTTTTATTAAGATGTTGTCGCATTATTTGTTTATCTCCAATGAGTTCCCGTATTATGTGCCCTTTCTGAGTATTAATATTATTAGTATTATTATTCTCTCATTTATTTCATTTCACAAGTTAGGTTTTTTATAAAATAGATATAAAAGTAAAATACAAAAACGTAAATACAAAAATAAATATAGTATAAAAAACCTAACCTAGAAGGCCACCAGCAGCGGAGCGAGGCCCAAGCTACCGGTGGTTAGGGCCGCAGAGAAAGAAACCGCCTGACGATGCGCGCCGTGTCCAGGAGTACTGCCTTTTGCATCTGCCCCTTGACCCAACCATCTAGCGAGAGGCTCTTTAGATGTTGATCGAGACTCTTCGCTATGAGACCGTTTACGCTAACGACTATAGGGACAATGATCGTCGAATCCACATCCCACAAAGCGGTTACCTCGTGGGCCAAGTCCAGGTACTTGCTGAGCTTGTCCTTCTCGGCCTTCACGAGGTTCTCGTCATGCGGGATGGTGATATCGATGAGCACTGCCTGGCGTTTCAATCGATCTGTCAATACGATATCAGGCCTATTGGCAATAATAGTCCTGTCCGTAATGACAGGTCGATCCCAATAGAGCGTTGCATGACCATTTTCAAGAACTGGCGCCGGTGTGTACTTATAGAACGGCACCTCGGATTCTACAAGGTTGTATTGAACAGCAAGTTGCTGGTGAATAATTCTGGCTACGAGATTATGTCTGTGCAAATACTCATCGTTGGCCAGATGAGAACAACCGGAGACGATATGTCTGAGGAATTCACCAGGCCGACGACATGCTCGACAAATGTCGGCTGTTCCGTCCCTCAGGATATATCTCCGATAGTTGTTCGTCATCATGACTTCGTCAGCAGTTGCACAGACAAACCCTTCGGTTTCCCCAAAGAGATCACCGAATCGTAGCCAGTTCACGGAGGCGAGTTGGTCCACATTAGGCCCTGTTAGGGCCCGATAGAACCGTCCGTGGAGCTCATTATTATTAGTGCTTTCAAGATTTGCACAGCAAAATTTTTAGATTCTGTTTTTTTATCGTAGCTACAAAATAAATATACATGCTATTTACAAAATGTCATGATTATTTTATTAATTAATCTTTTTCCGTCCTTGCAGAGACACTGCCGCTTAAAACACGATGGAATCGTAAAAGTTGTGACAGTTGTAAAACCAAAACAAGACGCAACAGTTTCATTGAACGAAATCTCCGGAGACACCTGTAACAAGTGCCCTTTCAAAACTTCTGATAAAAAGTTAATGTTCGCACACATACAGCAGCACCAGCCATCAGCACAGTCTATATTTAAATGCTTCTTCTGTCCTTACTTTGTGAAGGATGAAAATGAATTAATACAACATTTGCTTTTACATGGAGTTTCTGAACCAGAAGAATATATTGCGAAAGCAATGGGCCGCAAATCACCTCCTCCAGAGGTGGGATGCAATACGCCGCATACTTCAAGTATAAAAAGACACAAATGCACAGAATGCCCATATGAGACCAACAATAAATCACAATATATGTACCACGAACAATTCCATCGACTTCCTGCAGATACCCCTTACAAATGTCCAGAGTGTAATTACAGCGTCTCCAAACGACATCTACTTCATCAACATTTAAGAGTGCATGGGATAATGCCAAAGAAAACTGAAACGGAAGCTGAATTAGAAGCAAAATCAGATCTGAAAGTTGAATATTCGATTAATCTCTTTGAAATACCTTTTGTATGGGTATCAGCCAAAAATGAATTTCACAAAATGTACAAATGCCGCTATTGTTCTTATGTAAACTCACAAAAATGTAAAATTCCAAACCACGAAAAAATTCATTGTATCGTGTTTGAAAATAGTGATGTTACTGTTTACAAATGTTTGGAATGCAAATTTACCTGTGATAACGCAATAAGATTAGCAGAACATTCTAAGACTCATGACGAGATATATGGTCGTATTTACTGTCCTGTTGAAACCGATATACCAGATGAAGAACAAATAGCTAAATTGCGAAAAGTGATTGAATTAGAAAAGGCTAACTGTTCTGAAGCTTTATCTACAGAGGAAAGGATAGTAAATGAAAACAATGAAACTAAAATATTATACTTTTGCCAAATGTGCCCAGCTCGATTTTTCACTGACGAGGAACTTAAACTTCACGACAAATTTCATGATTCATCATTTCCGAATAAATGTAAACGGTGTGAATTGTCTGTTCCACATGAAAACGATTTAGATTCTCATATTGTTGTCCATACCGACGAATACCACACTAAAACTAAAATGCTAAAATTCATACATAATTCTCATGGTGCCCATAGGCAACCTAACTTGGAGCTAATGCATTGTCCCTCTACTTCTGAGATATATTGGGTGGTTCTGTCTCCCACAAAAAATTTTGATTTTGAATCGTCAAATAATAAGAGAACACTTGAGACGAAACCGACATCGAAACAGTATCTTTGTAAAGAATGCCCAGCCAAATTCTTTAAAACTTCCGCACTTAATTATCATTTAGGATTGCATGGTGGGGATGGTGAACATAAGTGCAAAAAATGCAGTTATGCTGTGAAGAATATAGGCAATTTGGCGAAACATGAATTATTACATGAGAACGAAGGTAAAACGTCAACATGTGATTATGAATCAGGAGAAGACATAGATTACAAAAATATCCCATTATCAGGAACTGATCTGTTCCAAAGAAAGACTGAAGCTCAAAAACGAGTACTTACAGATAAAGACAAGTTAGTGAAGCCAAATGATCATTTCCCTCCAGTTTTGCAAGCTGACCCTCAATTTGGTTATTTGATGCATGGAAATCCTGAATTCATTTATCCAACTTATTTCAAGAATGGTCGCCAAAAAGTAAAACGATACAAATGCCACAAATGTCCTTCGGCTTTTGAAAAAAGGGAACAATACAAAACACATTTATCACTTCATGGTTCTAAGCAAAGATATAAATGTGATCTTTGCGATTACTCTGTAAAATATTATGCTAATTATGTTCAACATATGAAAAAGCACCAAATGAACGATGAAGCACAAGCGGAAAGAAAAAAGATAAATAACGGATTTATGGAATCTGAACCTATAGAAGACAAACCTGAGGACAGTGATAACATAAAATTAGCTATTAAAACAATGCCTAAAGGAGTACCAAAAAGTGATTTCCAGCAGTTTTCTGTTCGCGACCAACAGACTCTTCGAATATTACAGCATAAACGTTCTATAAATGGAAACAAGGACCAAATAACCACATTGGAAACATCACCTACAAAAGAACGAAAATTACACATTTGTTTATTGTGTCCATATACTAATCAACGCCAAGACGCTTTGAATAATCATTATAGAAGACACGATGATACCGATGTTCTCAATTCTGGAAGTCATAAATGCTCTTATTGCGACTTGGTTGTTGTACAGTCGCATTTCCTACGAGATCATATGAAAAGCCACTTTCATTATCAAAAGAATTTGACTCCCGAATGTTACGTAGCTAACGAAGATGTGAGCTTCATAATATCTAAACTAGATGAAGAAGAATCGTCATCAGATCTCATATTAGATATGCAAAACACAAGTTTTGACTGCAATGATGAAAAGCTTTTTGTAAAAATAGAAACAGGAGAGCTTGTGGTAGAATAAGCCTAGCTAAAATTAGTCATAAGTATTTTAGTTTGTTAGAATAAATTAAATAGATATCTATACAATAGAATAATAGTCTTAGGGACAAACACTCAAAACAGTTAATGTTAGTGTAAGCCAAATAAAAGGAAGTTGATGTTCACCAAAGTGTAGCTTGCCATATTAGATTATTTTAAACAGTTTCGGCCATTTTGGATATTTATATTATTATAACTGTGCGGCTTACTTTTACTTAGCGTTGGCATGTGAATAGATATTAAATTGTAATGAGAAGAGGATCAAAATCTAGGATTTTTGAATGTACACAATAGGATGGATTGTAAAATTATTTATACTTACAAACATTCCGTCTTTCACTTACACTGTGGCACAGTATATGAATGAACCAGTAAAGAAGCTATATACAAATGTTCGAAACGACACATGCCCACATACACGCGTCTGAACAATGCCCCTTAGCGGACATCGCAATGCTGTCAGTCGCGGATGCAGTGTTTTTTTAAATGAATACAGAAACTTTACATAAATTGTAAATTTATTGCCTTTTTGCTGAGACGCGCGAATTGGACGTAAAGATCTCAACGTACTAGGTATCCTTCCTGCTGCTGGAACCAGCGTGCGAGACAGCGCTATACACGTAAAATAAATCCTGTATATCCATTTCTTTTACGTGTGTAGCGCTGTATCTCACTCTGCATCCAGCAGGATGGATAGTGCCTATGCACTATCCTGCTGGATCCAGAATGAGATACAGCGGGCTCTATAGCCCATTACGCAAAATAGGAGCGTTGCGCGTAGGATTTTATCTTATCAAAAAGGCCCAATTTCCGTACTGCTTTAGCTTACTTATACTGGTGTCGATTCTGGCAGCATTCTCTAAACTTAAAACTAAATTTAATATCAGTCTGTCCTTTTTATTCTATGTCTAGAATGACAAGGATACACTGTTGTCAAATTTAAGTTTAGCTTTAGAGAATCATGCCAGAATCGACACCACTGTGACTATGGTGTGTGTGTTAAATTTATTCCAAACTAGTCTAACATTTTGTGGAAATGCCAAAATTGTTACCAAACTACCATGGCAAAATTATTTACCTAATTAAATTAATATCACAGAATAATAATGTTACTACAGAGATCCAATGAGGCCGTTTAGACAAAGCGATCGTGCGGGGATTGTGTCGAGGTTCCCATACTAAACATTTGCAGTAAGTTCGTAGATGTGCATTTACTTCGTGGTTCACTAAATGATGAATAAAGGAAAGTAGGTACTTACTTTATTTGATATTTTGTCGTTTTAAGCTCGATTTTATAATATGTAGTATCCACAGTTAATATTTTTTAGCAGATAAATCCACGATATTTTACATTTTCAGTGAAATTAAGCTATTCTACGATAGCAGTTGTGTTAGGCATATAACATTTTTAGTATTAGTACTAGTTGCGGTATTTTAATAACAACTTCAGTAAATAAGTCAAACAACCATTTAAATTCAAACTGAATCTACTAGTAGGTATTTTGTTACTTTAAATCATGTGAAACAGGTAAGTACCTATGGCCTTGACGATTCATCATTTTTATCTGATTAGTTTTTTAAATTATTTAAGTTAGTATTGTTTTTTGTTTTCCAAATTTTTTTAAAAGAATTCATTGTTAAAAAATAAATCAATTCGTTTGCAAGCGACAACAAACATCTATAGGCTGTGTACACATTGTCGGCATTTGTCACTATAACAAAGGCGTCGGACTACTGTAGTTCAATATTATACTTTGGTAAGTTTTTATAGTAAACCTACTTTTACATTCATTACATAGGTTACCTATTATGAATCTGATACATACTGCTAAAGTGATTTACAGATAAAACAGACAATAAAATGTGTATGTTACTCTTCTTTTGAAATACACTAAACTGGCGCACTCAGAGATGATATTTAAGCTTGATGCTGGTCCAGCATTATGCACACACTAGACAGCCTTAATCACATAGGGAAGCATAAAGTTTAATTGTCGTTTGTGAGTGTGACTGTATGACCATTTTGTTATTTAAAAGAAGTATTTGCTAATGAACAAGTTATGTGAATGTCTTACATACTATACTATTTGAACAATAAAAAAAATATTTCTTTAAAACACCTATTGTCATTACATTTTTTTTTAAGTTGATTTGCAATCTATAATGTATACTTTGAGTAGATAGAAATTAAAGTATGTTTATTGATTATGTATGGTATATTCTCTGAATAACCAGAAACCACTGAGTGCCAGTTTATTATATTTTACTGTCAGTCCTAAAGGACACATTCCTCTTGTTATCAAAATTTTAATGAAAATATAATTATAAATAAATATTATTTGAGTTTTAATGGAATTGGAACCTTTCTACAAGTAATAATAGGAATTAAAGGTAAATATTGAAAAAAAAATTGGATATCACTTAAAGCAGATTAATTTATTATGTAAAACTAAGGAAACCTTATCTACTTAAAATGATTCCGCATCCTGTGACAGTAGAAAGGTCATTGCAATTAACAGCAGAACAAAATTTCACAATTCATAGTAAGTATAGTAGTACATTTACTTGATACAATTATAGTATCTGTTATATTAATAGACAAACTATTTTTAAACTAGGCAATAGTATAAGCAGTCTTAACAGAACTTCCAGCGATTACCACATTCATTACAAAGGACAAATGTAGTCATAGGTTCATCAGAGCTCCTGGTCTGGAGCTGGTTGTAGGTGCAATTCTTCTTTTTACATTTGCCACATTTAAGCATCTCAGTTTTAGTTCCTTGCACAGTTGCTAATTGAGCATCGTCAATAGCCTCTTTGATGAATTTCTCTCTCAACTTTTTCATTTCATCACTGGCCATCTCTTCTGGTGTCATTTTAGCAAGACGCGATGCCGAAATTACACCATTGAGATAATTTGTTCTTAATGTGGGATTCTTTGGATCTTTTAAATTAGCAACACGAGATCGTACTCTGTTCTTGTATCTCATATCAGTATTTTTGAACTCTGCATAGATACATTCCTCCAGTTCTTCAGCAAGTTCTTCTGGAGAAGCACAAGCACTTGGATTCTCACCATCAACTTTCATTGCCTGGGTGAGGAGTTCACGACACTTTAGTCGCACAGCATCAGTTGTATTAGACTGAGGAGGAAAAGATGCTTGTATTTTTTTATCCTTTTCCTTATCATCTTTCTTTTCTTTGTCTTTGCCATCCTTTTTAGATTTAGACGAGCTTCCATTATCTTTTGTTGGAGTAGTTGGGGTTGATAAAAATTTCTTCCAGTTTTTAATAAGGGTTTTACACAAGGAAATCACCTCCTCATCCTTACTTGATTTACGCAAAGCATTGACTGTCATACCTATCCTTGTCTTGGTTAATACATCCAAGTTTATAGCCATTGTTTGTAATGTTTTCAAAAGCTCCAAAGCTTCTTCTTGGCCCTAAAACAAAAATGCATTTCCATAATCATCGTGGGGGATAGCGGGAACATGTTGAAATTATTGACATGCAGTGATATGAACAATAACTATGGATAAAAAGAGGCACTCATTATATTGGGAACAAGTGTAACCATTATTTATTATTGCGGCGAAGGGACTCTATCAATTTTCATATATACCTATACAGCAGTAAGACTTACTGTGCCATCATCCGATGTCATTTTGATTAGTTTCTTTTGTATTTTCATAACATCTTCTTCAACACTCATTTTTGAATACAATTTTATTACAAATAGCAAATTCCCGCCTATAACCAGCTATATAAAAACGAAAATTGGTAAATCGACCACCACACCAAAAATAAAACTAAGCCATAGACAACACCATGTTTGTTTTGTTTTCTTATTTTTTTGTAAAATGTTCTATGAAATAAATGCAAAGGTTGTCGAGTTCATACATCTTCATAAATATTTTTTTAAAAGAATATTTAAAAAAAAAACACGTGGACCAGGCAACAGATCAAAAATTATAACTAATATTTTTAATTTTAATTGTTTAAAATCTTTCAAGCTTCGATAGTCACTACTATAATCATTATAATAATTAACGTAATTAGAGGGATTGCTACCATGCACCTTGTTTTTGCAAGTATATTTCGGCACTGTTGCAAGTGCTGTGATTACGGAGTATAGTTATTGTTCATTTTTAAGAAATTCCGGAGTTCTTATCTCGGAATGTCTATCGAGCAGTTTTCTCGATAACCTAGTAAAGGCAAGTCGGCACTACTGAAAAGTTCTCTTTTCTACTTTACCGAAATAACGAGATCCCGCAAATTTTCAGTTGCGTAGACGCTTTTACACAAAACTGTTCTACATCACATAAATCCTTTATTCTCATTTGTTCGATTCATTAGTTCGATCGTCGAACTAGTGAGATTTTTTTTTCTCATTAGTTCGATCGTCGAGCTACTGAGATTTTATTGTTCTCATTTGTTCGACCGTCGTCAATATTGCATCCATAAACATTTATAAAAATCACTATTTAGAAAAAAAAGTACCAGGAAACCATACATAACTAAGAGGTTCTGGTAATGAAAATGGATGAATAAAGAAAATAAGTTCGACGACGGTCGAACAAATGAGAACAATAAAATCTCAGTAGTTCGACGATCGAACTAATGAGAAAAAAAAATCTCACTAGTTCGACGATCGAACTAATGAATCGAACAAATGAGAATAAAGGACATAAATTACACTCATATCGCAATTAAAATATAACTCGCGCGCGCGAGATACAGATGGTTGAGTTGTTACGATTGAAAAAAAATAAACATCGTTATATTAGGCAATGGTGTCGATTCTGGCATGATTCTCTAAAGCTTATCTTAAATTTGACAATAGTGTATCTCTGTCATTCTCTATACAGAATGAGAAGGACAGGCTAATAGTAAATTTAGTTTTAAGTTTAGAGAATCCTGTCAGTATCAACACCATTGGCTCCCAGTCTTAGGCCTTTTGATTTATAAAAATATTAAGGAATTTATGTGCATATATGGTATATAAATAACTTGAGTAACAACTTTGTATAGCAATGATATCAGTGTTTCGTTTTTCCTTGTATCATGGGTTTTTCTATTTAACACATTTTTCAAATTAAAGGCAGAAACAGACTTGAACCGCGACGCGACCCGACGCGTGTTAATTCAAAACAAATCTATTAATTTTTATTATCTGAATCACATTAAAGTCGAAATAGACTTATGAAAAACGACGCCACTCGACGAGTGTTGCGTCAAATCAAATCTACTATTTTCTACGATCAGAATCACATTAGGAACATCCAACACGATGCGATGGGCAAAGACTGAACATAGAAAATAGGCATCGCCTGGCGTCGCGTTTCAAAAGTTTGTTTCGGCCTAGGAACAATCGCCGCAACGCGATGCGCGCTGACGCCACCCAATCCCATCTGTCCAGGAGCTCTATTTTTGAATCACTCGTCTTGCGTCGAACGCTCGATTTCTACTAAATTTCATTCGACATAATTAATTCCGTATTTGTGAGTGCAACGAATGGGTGAGACCACTCGCTGCATGGCGAACGGTGGAGGCGAATGATAGAATAATTGTCAAATTTTTTGTGCTATTAAACGACGATAATCTATCATTGTCATGCTTTATATGATATGACAACGAGAATTTTTTGTTCGGTTTTCATCGCGGTTATTATCGGTTTTTATTTTTTCTGCGTGAAATGAGTATAATTTCATATTTCGTATTAAACAGGTAACACCGGTGACGAGTGATTCAAAAATACGGAAAATCAGTATTATGCGACTTGAAAGTCGAAGGTGACTTATGTCGCATTCGACGATACTATGTCAGACGAGTAATTCAAAAATAGAGCTCCTGATCGACACCCAACGTGGCGCACGCAGTGTGTTTTGGATAACACCTGACACCACATATCAGTCGTAATAATTTTTATTTTTGTATATTATCCGAAAATTTATATGATATCTCTCATCATTTCTAACTAAGTTTGGATACAGAGCATGATATTCACCAAAAGTACCTCTATGCATTTATTTCATGCACCCAGTAAAGTTTAGTTATTTTTTTGTTTGTTTAATTTGCATAAAATTTGCATCTTATCTGACTATTAGATACATAAGCACACTACACTTTCATAAAATTAAAAATTGCGTGTTAGTACAGTCAATCTGTAGGTTGAGCGGTGAAAAAGAAACCTAAAGCGTAAGTCTTGTTTTTTCTGTTGCCAAATGACGTCAGTAAGCCACCTTGGCGATGGGCATGTTCAACTCGTAGGCGTTTTTTGAAAAACTCAAAAAAACCGTCAAAAATTTTTTGAAACGCATTTTTCTTGTTTTGTATGCATTTTAGAAACTTTTTTTTTCGACCATAATTGTAGAGGGCGTTGAGTACTACAATTTATGTCGGTGTTGCAATCTCGTACAACAAAAAATGCGCATTGTAGGTGGCGCTAAAGTCTCAAAAAAAGTGTTTTTTCACTTTTTCACCCTGAAAATATCATTTTAATGGAAAACTTTAAATACCAAAGTTGTTTCGTACATAATAGGCTAGTTGACCCTTTTTGGAAAAAGGTTTTAAATGGTTAATAAATGTTCTATTAGACCGAAAAAAAATGTATTGTATTTTTTTTAAACCTAGAAAGCTACAAACTTTAATTTTAAAATAGACTTTTCATGGACATACAAAAACGCTGTCGGCCATTTTAGTCTATAGATTGTCTATGCTATGACGTGAACTGTGGTAAACAAAAACTCGTAAACACGTAGAAAATTACTTTTAACTGAGTTTATAATAAAAAAAAACATGATTTCTAATAAATACCACGAAAAATAAAGTAATTATCATTACTGTATTGTACGAGAATATAAAAACACATCCACAACTTTCCTGGAGTCTTCAATCCAGGAAAGTTGTGGATTAAAGTGCGGAAAGAAATTAACCTACGCAACTTTATTACACTTATTCATATGTTGTATCAGTTTTATATTTATTACTACATTGTAATACTAAATGCACTGTACTTACATAGATGCCTTGTCGTTTCTCTGCTCCGCAGAGCAGAAATCGGGGTTTAGTGCAACAAATTCACCAACCATCAATGCGTCAATTCTTGGCAGATTTGTGCTTTCTGCTTTCACAAAGCCGGCATCCATAATTTGTTTAGTCAAAAAAAACTAAGTTTACTGTTTTTTTTTTCTTTCCTAAAGTTAAAAGTGTTTTAAGATAGATTTAGTCAGACGAAAGAATCCACCTACAGTAACACGCGAATGACATTTAGTTGTTTACCACAAGAGACGTCAAAATCATGGCGAAAGTGGCGAACAGCGTTTTTAGTGTTTAAAAAATATAGACTAAAAAATATTTTTTAAAATTAAATTTCTACAGCAATCTTCTGCTTTTATGAAGTGAAATCGATATATTAAGGTTCCTTAGACTAAACACTTTAAGAAATAAACATTTATTTAATACAATTCGACATGAGTAAACTAGCCTATTACTAACAACTTCTGTATAAACAATTTTTTTGTATTACTTACCGTTTTCAAGTTATAAATTGCGCAGGTATGAAAAATCCAATAGAGCGGTTTTGGGCAGATGCCAAATGATGATGGCAAATGTGTACTTGAACTGCCCAAAACCGCTCTATTTAATTTTTCATACCTGCGCAATTTATAACTTGAAAACGGTAAGTAATACAAAAAAATTGTTTATACAGAAGTTGTTAGTAATTATGTACGAAACAACTTTGCTATTTAAAGTTTTCCATTAAAATGATATTCTCCGGGGTGAAAAAGTGAAAAAACACTTTTTTTGAGACTTTAGCACCACCTACAATGCGCATTTTTTGTTGTACGAGATGGCAACACTGACATAAATTGTAGCACTCAACGCCCTCTACAATTATGGTCGAAAAAAAAGTTTCTAAAATGCATACAAAACAAGAAAAATGCGTTTCAATAAATTTTTGACGGTTTTTTTGAGTTTTTCAAAAAACGCCTACGAGTTGAATATGCCCATCGGCAAGGTGGCTTACTGACGTCATTTGGAAACAGAAAAAACAAGACTTACCCCATAGGTTTTTTTTCACTGAAACGATATTTTTTTCGACAGATTGACTGTACTATGTTGTCGTGGCATCGTGTGTTGGTAATGTGCACGGTGCACAGCGGTCGTCAACAAGTGGTGTCGTGTCGCGTAACAAATGTTTGTTTCCGCCTTAATATTTCGTTGAAGCATAGACAACGCAAATATTACGGCGGGAACCAGTTCTTAATTTAAAATCTCTGTCCTTTCTATAGTAGTGCACAAACCGTGTCCTGCCATTAAAAAAAAAGTAGCTTAGCTTGCAAAGAGGATATAACCACTTTTAACTTGTAGATTCCACCCTCTACTTTGTTCGCGTTATTGTTAATTTCCTATGTCTCGATCTAAATAATTTTCTTATAAGACACAAGGAACACAAGGAATTTTCTTACTATGTGCAAAAGAGCTAAGTAAGAAGAAGAAGCTTTTTTTTATCATTAATTTATTACATTTTAAGTTGATGAATATAACATAACATAATTGTGATGTAGAGGATTCGATAGTTGGTAGAGTAGCCCCATCAGAATCCGAGATCGCGTCGAGATGCAGCCAGGGAGGTCGAATGGGTGGGAAAGACAGGGAGAGGAGAGGACGGTTTAATAATAGTGAGAGGCGAAAGAAGAGGAGAGGAAACGAAACAGAAAATAAATAAATGCTTTAAAGGATGGGAGTAAGAGTGTAAGGGAATAGGTTTAACAATCTTGCATGATATACAACCATTGACGAAATATATTCAATATTAAGTG